TGAATGCTAAAAAAATTGGAGGGAGAATAAAATTTAATGCATCACAATAAAATTAAATGCTTGTCTTGCCAAATTATATATTTATAGATTAATATATCTGCATTGACTTATTTACATTACTCACAAGACAACCGTAGAATATTCCATTAATTAACCAATGCTAATTTCAACATAGGGTGTGGATTAAGCAATAAAGCAATCATCAAACCATATAAAATAAATAAATAAATAAATATACCCTTTTTTTCTGGTGGGAAGATTTCTTTCTTGTGTGTGAAGTGTAAGGAACCATAAATTGGTGGGTAACAATGTAATTATTATTATTCTTAATAAAAGTTACGGTTTGATTCTTTTTTTTTTTTTGGCGTAATTGCACATAAAATCATCACTTTTTGTGTAATTGCAAATAAAATTCAACTTTTTTATCTTTGCAAATAAATACTAAACATTTATTATGTGTTGCAAATTTGTCTCAAAACATTTTCCGGCCATTCTTTCTGACGTGTCCGATCATAACACTAAAATCGCCTAAAAATCATTCGAAAATCGTTTTCTCTGCCCAATTTTTCAGAATTTAGAGGTGAACTCATAAATGTATTTGGAATGTTGGGGGTGGACTCGATTTATGAGAATGAAGAATAGCGCCATGGAGAAGAGAAGAATCGCTGCAAATATTTTTTTTTTCAGTTGGAAGAGAAGAACTCGATTTTTATGAAGATTATGGAGCAAAAAACATGGTGATAAATCCTATTTTTTCAATTAGTACTAAACTCTAATTTTGGTTAATTTTTTGACATATGATATGACAAAAACATAGTGAGGAGTTTCAAAGATTGATGCCACATAAGCCTCATCAGTGTTACGCAAGATTTTTTATCGAACACGTCAACAAGAATTACTGAAAAATTATTTTCTGACAAATTTACAATATCTAATAAAAATTTGGTATTTATTTACAACGGATAAAAAAATTGAGTTTTATTTATATAAATATATATATGCAATTAAAAAAAGCCTTGTTTTTTGGTGCTGTTTTCTTCTAAATTTGCGAGCCTACGCAGATTCGAATTTGCTGATCAACTAATATCAATAAACAATCAAATACAGTATGATTTAATATTATTTTGGAATATAAATATTATAAAAACTCCATTTCTCATTAATGTAATCATTTTTTCCCAATTATAGAGAGAACCTTCGCCCTCTCGAAAAAGCTGCCAAGGAACTTTCTCTCTCTAGACGTCAATGGCAGATCCAACCTCCGCTGCTTAACCTCCGTGGACACCTCATATTCCGTTTTGTATCCGACGCGGTTCAACCGCCGGTGAGCTGGAGACACGCGATTGCACACACACAGACACACGCACACACAAAAAAAGAAACCTAATTAATTTGGACATTTTCTCTTTTATGGTCGTTCATTTCGTGATAATGCTGATCCTGTTGTTATCCGTTGTGTGGATCTGATCTGAATTTAAGATTCACGCTCTGTGTGTGGCGTCCGTGATTTGCATTTCTCGTTGTGACGTCGTTTTGTTGTTTTTTTCGATTGGTGGCGTTAATGCAGGTTGTTGTTCTTAATTTTGAGGCTCTGGTTTTGTTCGTGTTTGGCGGGGATGCGTAGTCTGAGCGGAGAATTTTGTGTTGATTGGATTTAGCATTCGTATCATTGAGAATTTTTGGTGGTTAATTTGGCAGCACGGCAGTTATTGCATCGAAAGCGTGAGTAGGCTTTAAGGGGGAGCTCTATGTGATCTGAAATCGGTCGCTGTAGCTTTAGATCGGATCCACGTGCCTCAAGCCTGGGCGTTTGACTGACTAATTACGTGATATAGCCGATAAGTTGCTTGTTTTGGGGTTTACCGTTTCTTCTCTCTTTAATGACAGCTGAAATGGTTAGGAGGTTTTAGCATATTGAGGAGATAGATACTATATGATGATTGTTCGTAGTTTTCCGAGTTGTTGGAGATTGATGTTGGGGCAGTAGCCCACGGCAAACTGGTGTTTTTTATGAGACATTTAATTTTGGGAACATGAGAAGCTTTTGGCACAATAAGTTACTATTGGTATTTGGCCCTAGACCGCCTCTCAACTGGGTGCTTGTATGTCTTGTTAGTGTTTTAGTTCTTATCACGTTGTTGGGATCTTCTTCTTCTCGTGCCTTTGATTCTATTACTGATTCCACGAGACCCGACCTTTATTCTAACTATAGAAAGTTGAAAGACCAAACTGTAAATGATTATTTGGAGTTGAAAAAACTGGGGGCCAATCCTTTAAAGGATTTTGATCTATGTGCTAAAGAGAGAGAGAATTATGTTCCTTGCTACAATGTTTCTGCCAATCTTCTAGCTGGTTTTAAAGATGGGGAGGAGTATGATCGTCATTGTGGATTATCACAAGATCGACAGTATTGTTTGGTTCGTCCCCCGAAAGAGTATAAGATTCCTTTGACTTGGCCAAGTGGTAAGGATGTCATTTGGAGTGGAAATGTGAAATTGAGCAAAGACCAATTCCTTTCATCTGGAAGCATGACGAAAAGGTAAGTAAGTCTTGATTTTAATTGGATAATATCGAGATTCAGATTTTTGATATTGGTGACTGCCTGCCTGTTAATCTGTTACGGAATTCACTATAGAATACCTTTGTGAAGGAGAAAAATTAACCTGTAAGGTTTTAACTTTTATAGGCTCATGTTGCTGGAAGAGAACCAAATTTCATTTCACTCAGACGATGATGAGATGATTGTTGATGGTGTCAAAGATTATTCCCATCAGATCGCTGAGATGATAGGATTGGGAAGTGATGCTGAATTTCGCGAAGCTGGTGTAAGTATTTTTGCACGCATAGGTTTAATATTATCTTTTTTCCTAACATCTAAATTGAGTTTTTCGAATGATTTTGATTATAATTATCCAGCTGTTAATTGGTGTTTAAGTCTGTTTCACACTTGGAACTTGTGTGTATACATCTTTTAATGTGTGAATTCATTACTTATGAGTTGATTCTCCGATACTTAAAGCTTTTCGTTTTCTGCTGAATTACAGGTGCGCAGTGTTTTAGATATTGGCTGTGGGTTTGGTAGCTTCGGCGCTCATTTGCTTTCACTTAAGCTGATGACTCTTTGCATGGCATCATATGAAACAACTGGTAGCCAAGTACAGCTTGCTCTTGAGAGAGGTCTCCCAGCAATCATTGGTAGCTTTATCTCAAAGCAACTACCTTTTCCTTCCTTATCATATGACATGGTTCACTGCACTCAGTGTGGTATTGTCTGGGATGACAAAGGTACTTCCATTGTTGTTGTTTGGTTTTGTTATTTCTTCTTTGTGTTGTGATTTTCTTGATGCCTGAGTTTTCTTATTATGGGATGGGTGTGTATTGTTTACATGAACTTATTTTGTTTCTTTTATTTAAAATGATGAAATTGTCAGATATAGATGTATACGCTATTTATTGTGTCCTAATATAAATCTTTATACTTTTCAGCTAGAACAATGTAAACCCTTTGTTTGAACAAATCTAATCGCATGATTTCGGTGTCCTCGCAGACTCATTTTGTATTTAATTTATGAATATTCCAAAATAACTCTAGTGAAGCTTTGGGTCTATAGGCTGAAAGTATAAGGAGATCCTCTTGTTTTGATGTGCATCCAAATATTCAATCATTGTGATAAGACTTATATGTGACAAATGTATCCAAGTAGAGAATACAATTAATCATTCTATGCTTACTATGATAGCTGAAGGCCCAAATTTGTCAGTAGGGGTGCATTATCTTAATCTATCTACATTCTTTCTTTCTTTTTTTTTTTTGGTCTTGTCTTTCACTTACTGTTTTATTTGATTATGGAGGTCATAGTGACTGGGAAAGGGTATAGTATAATCAAGTCTTTGAGTTAGTTTTGACGGCAGGAAATTATGGGTGGACTCAGTGATGCATTTTTCTTTCAGATGGGATGTTTCTAATTGAAGTTGACAGAGTACTCAAACCCGGAGGTTATTTTGTTGTAACCTCACCTAAAAGCAAGGAGCAAGGAAGCACTTCAACTCCTATGGGAGAATACCCCCAAAAACTTTGTTGGAACCTTGTGGGACAGCAAGAGGAGACTTTAATCTGGCAGAAAACCAGAGATGCCCAGTGTGTTTCTAGGTGAGATTAGTCACTCATTCTCTGATTGTTCTTTTTCCCTCCCAAATCCCACCCTTGCTATATTCTTCTTCTGTGTTTCATTTTTCATAACCTACCCTGTCAAATGTAATTTGTCCTGTGCTAACATACTTAAAACCATTATACTCCCCTAATATGCCTGCCAATGTTTGTTATTTTAGCAAGCATGGCACTTTCCCCCTTTGTAATGGAGAAGATTTCCAATCGTACTACAAACCACTCACTCAGTGCATAAGTGGGATTGCCAGCAGCCGTTGGATCCCAATTCAAAACAGATCTTCTGGTTCTTTGAACTCTGCTGAGCTTGCAGTCCATGGTATGTTGTAATAGTTGAAAGCTGTATGACTCTGCATTGCTATATTGGGTTGTCTTGAGCACATCTCAACATGGGAATAAAACCTTGACATATTATATTTGCAAAAGGGTTAGTTATACTCAATTTGAATACAGGAATTAATTCTGAAGATTTTGCTGAAGACCTGGAGTTCTGGAGGTCTTCTCTGCGAAATTATTGGTCGTTGCTTTCTCCTTTGATCTTCTCTGACCATCCAAAGCGGCCTGGTGATGAAGATCCAATGCCTCCATACAATATGGTTCGAAATGTGATGGACATGAATGCACATTACGGAGGTTTGAATGCTGCCCTACTGGAAGCTAGAAAGTCGGCATGGGTGATGAATGTTGTGCCCGTCGGTGAACATAATACCCTTCCGGTCATTCTTGATCAAGGCCTTGCAGGCGTCTTGCATAACTGGTAAGATGCTTCTTCTTGTCCGGTCGAACAGGACCTGACTTTTTTGATGCAGTCATGGTGTGAGTATTTCTTAATTTGTTTTTCTTTTTTAGGGTCTGCTACAACTGAATGTGCAGCACTATGTGCACGTGGTATAAAACAGAACACTATAGTTAATTCTGCTGGTTGTTTCAAGTAAATTATATGGTATGAAAAAAAAAAAGTCTTATTGTGCCCGTTGATGTTAGTGCATCAAATTTTGGTGTATTATACACCAGTTGGCTCAAAATTCCTCATTCACCTTCCAATTTCGATAAATTTTAACGTTACTTCAACTTTAAAATCAGTAGTAACTTTGCTTCCTGAAAGTACTGTCAATTAAACTATCTGGACTTGAAATTAATACGATTGATTTTATTGGTCATAACACCATTCCATTATATCTGAAATGCTAAATCCAATGCCTGGTTCTCTAGCTCCATAAATGAACATTTATCCTCATATTTTGCATTCTGCATTTCTTTTGATTTAACATTTCCCTTTCACCAACACAGGTGTGAACCTTTCCCTACATACCCTCGGACATACGACATGCTTCACGCAAAGGGACTTCTAACACACATTGCTTCAGAAAAATGCAATATCATTGATTTGATTTTTGAGATGGACCGTATTCTTCGTCCTGAGGTAATGTTTAAGAAACTGTGTTATTCATATGAGCTTTAGATGTTAATTATAAAATATTATAATCTGCCAAACTGCTCTAATTAATAACAATAAATAGAAAGGAGGAAAAAGTTAGATTTGGTCACTTACAAGTGTCTTGTGACTTTGTCTCTGTACCTTAAAGTGGTTTTTGTAACAATTTAATAGGTTTCATATAATCTGAAGACAATTTAAAGTTCTCCTTTTGTCCTATAATATTTGGCTTAACATTTCTTTAAATGAAAACTTCCTATCTGCAATCTTGATACAGAATTGATACGTTTGAGAATGTCTTGTTAACAGGGATGGGTTATAATATCCGATAAGGTTGGTCCCATAGAAATTGCACGTACCCTTGTTACCCAGCTCAGATGGGAAGCTCGGATGATCGATCTTCAGAATGGCAGTGACCAGCGTTTGCTCGTGTGCCAAAAACCGTTCGTGAGAAAATGAGTTTCCCAGTTACAGGAAAACCATCAGCCATCTCTTGAGATACATTTCCACTATTTTTTAACTCTGGTAAATTTATGCACATCATTTGGCTATTGAAAGACCCCTTGTACAAATTGACACACTGAGCAAATCACATGAGAGCATATCGTGGTATAACTGCATGAACGAGAATGCATCAATGAGGTTTTTCCAAATTTAGTTTGGATTTTCTGTTTGATGGGGAAAAGGAATACACATTTACGTACTCGAAAAGATGGGATCAGAAGATTTTTGCGCTGTAGATAAATGAGTGATGTTTGGTGCAGTAGTACGGTTCCAAGGAAAAGAAGATTTTTCCCTCTTCTTACAGGAGAGTTTGTAGCCATTCATTATTCCATTTTTCATTCAAAACCTCTTTTTATATTTGTTAATTTGTATTGAAAGGACTTCCCTTCTAAAGTGATTGCTACAAGCCACGATTTTTGTTAATTTGTATTGAAAGGACTTCAATTCTAAAGTGATTGCTACAAGCCACGATTTTCAAGTTGTTTTTGTTTTAACCTTGCACATGGGGGAAAATTCAACCCTACCTAGGGTGTGCGTCCGTGAGTTCGTGTGACCCAACGGTAAAACTTTAACCTTACCGGGTCGAATTTGCTATATATGGATTATCGAATGATGGATTCTAAGAGTGTGACCCAATTGTTGTTGAAATATAACAATTGGAAATGAGGTATTTTTTTTTTCGGTACAAAAAAATGAGGTATTTTCAAACAAGAACTACCTTCAACAAATTTTTCTTGTAAAAGAAAGAAGTAAAATGAATTTTATAAATGAATTTTATGTAAACATTTGTAGTATATCTAGAAGCTAATATTTTGTTTTGATTATTTACTTTTATTTGATGATTTAAAAGTAAATTTGAATAAAAGGATTGGGGTGTCACATCAAATAACAAAATCAGAAGTTATTTTGAAATGTGTGCCTAAATATATTTTTAATTTTACTATTATTATTAATATATTCTTTTATTAATTTAAATGTAGTAAAGTATTGTGTTGTCACATATAAAAAGTCAAAGCTGACCATCTTATTTGATTGCATTTGTCACTTTGCATTGGTCATTCAATTTGCATAAAAAATATTGTGTTGTTAATTTACATTTGTTTATGTCTACCCATCCCTTTTATTACAAAGCCCAAATAATGTTTTTCACTTTGAATAGTGTGCCCATAATTGAAATTATGACCATCATCTTTTCAGAAGCTTTTCAGATGTGCCCACAAAAACCATTATGACCATCATCTTTTGCAGAAGTTTTTCCGAGGTCCTTTGTATCCATTTTTTTTCAAACGATAGATTTTATATCATAAATCACACATTACAAACACCAGAACAGCGAAAACGCTGAAACGGCCCAGCTAAAAAGCAGAAAGTGGGAGAGCTACACAGAGTGTAGTCTAAACCGGCCTAAAGCCAATACACACAAATCACAGAAAAACACACAATGAAACTCCAACAAAGTGGAGGCGAAAACTCCAACAAGTGGAGGAAGAAACTCCGAAACCGGGAGAACCAAAGACAGACTAAACAACACCCTACACCATCTAAAAACTAAACAAAAAAGAAAACAAGAATAAACAAAGATAATTCCCTCCCCTGCCGGAATACGAACACAACGCCCATCAACACCTAACGAACATCCCAACTAGCAGACAAACGAAAAGCGACCTCCAAATCTTCAATCCTACCCGGCAAGCCCGAATTTACTCACACGGGCAAACCACGGCCAGACCCAAAGCCCAAAAGTCTCAATCCGAAACCGCATAATCACCGAGGCTGGTACCACCACAGCCCCCTCAAGCACACTCCGCAGCCGTCCAAATCTTGCCGCCGCTGCCGGAGGACCCGACCTGACCAACACCAGGAAAAGCTGGGTAAGGGGGGAACCAAAGCTTGACCTCCACCGAAGACTTCCACAAGGACTTCAACGGTGGACGTCAGACCTGACACCGACCGCACCCCACCTCAATTACTTTCGTCCTGGCGCTTCAGGGAGCGGGACCATTACTGGGAAGAATCGACGCGAAGCCGCCAACGCCGCAGGACCAGCAAGCCCGAGGCGAGTCAGATGCCCGCCGGAATTGCGAGGCCAAGGGCCTCCGTAGGGGAGAAGCACGCAGGAGACGGCGGGGGCTAGGTTAGATTTGGGGATTTTTAAGGAGAGAGTTTTCGAGGAAGAGGCCATATTTTCGAGGAAGAGGCCGTATTTGAATATCAAATGTATCCATCCATTTATTTGAATAATATCAATTTGCAATATGAAATGCCTACAAAATAAGTTGTTTGGTATGATGTTATACATTACACTTTCATCACCCAAAAAAAAAAAAAT